GTTAATCCTAGCTTTTTGTGTCTTCGTGAAATATTATTGCTTCATATTTTCCATTATCATTTTATTTTTTGCATTTCCAACGTCATGTTTTTAAAAATTAATTGTAATATCAACTCTCTCGAGCCTTTAAATCAGAGATGTGCAACAAGCGGCCCGGCCCCCCAAGTCATTTAGTGTGACCCATTCCAACACTCCCCATAAAGCATAAAATCCTAACCCGACAGTTTACGTTTTAAAAGTCCGTTGGTAAAATACACAATGTTTTTTTGCTATTGTCACTGCGTTAAATCTTTCGCTGTTTGCCCGGTGCCTTTATTACTGTAAGGCTAAGTAATATTCTCTTGATTCTTAGAAGTTTTTAATTCGCGGTGTACAACTATTTTTTTGTGCGGCCCAGCCAGATGTTTGAAGTTGGTTATTTGGCCCAACGACAAAAAATGTTGCACACCCCTGTTTTAGATGCACAGGAAGTCACAAATTATATGTAACTTCATCTAGTTCCCAGGTTCAATTTATCACGTTCTGAAATATACTTTATACTAAGTCTATGGGAACGTGGTCTACATAGTATACTTCTATGAGTTATATGTACTATCAATTTGAACACAGACCACGTCCATTATATAAATAGCCGAATAGGAACCAAGGCTTACGCCTACGACCAATAGCGACACTCTATAATTTTGACAATTACCTCAACGCCTATACTCGTGCCTGTACAGTGCTATGTATAAAATATTATTCCGCGTACTCGAGTTTGCAGTTTCGATCGAGTGGCTTTTCTATGAACAACATATGTCACGTATTATAAATATATAATATTGCGTCATGATCTGCCTCGACTAGGGTTGGGCATTTTGGAATACCTGATAATTTTAAAATCGAATCGATTTTTTTTTTAATTCAAATATAAGATATTACGTCATGATCTGCCTCAATTAGGGCTGGACATTTTCGAATACCTGATGATTTCATAATCGAATCGAATATTTTTTCGAACCGAATTTTGAATATTTGGGAGTCAGGGGGGCATAAGAAATTGTATGCAACTTTTTTATTGTAAATGGTCCTGTCAACAAATGCATTACTGAAAACATAGAATACATCACTCAGGCGGATTGCCGAGCGTTCACGCACAATAAAAAACACGCAATTCACCTAAATCTCACTAAAGAAAATGGTCATATGTCAAAATTGCGTTGAAAAAATAAGGCTGCAATAAAATAAATAGGGAGTTCATCTCGACCACAGGCGTAAAAAACAAGCGGGCAGCAATTCGAAATTTTGCTTTGAATCGATTCGAATAATTTACTATTCGATTCCAAATGCCCAGCCCTGGCCCTGACGAGGCGTGTTATGAATGTATCATTTTGCGAAGCCAGGGATATTCTACCTTCGATTCCGCGCTGTTACAAAATTGGCACCGGACCGGGTTAAAAATTTTTGACTCCTGACACAACTCTTTGCTCCAATTCGAAGTTTACAATTTCGACTTAAATACTCCTATAAATACGAACATGAGTTTTGACTTCCAAATTCCAGCATTGGGCAGTTTGTAGACACGACTAGCAACTTATAAAAACGTCAGACATCGGCCCGCTAGTCCTGGTCATAGAAGACACTTGCAATTTGTTTACGGCGCATAACCTGTAATGATAGATTATCAAATAGTTATCTGATTGAATAAAGCATGGATCTGTTTCCTACAAATATTTAAATCAGGGGTGTGCAACCTTTATTAACATAAGCTTCGTAGTAGTTGCAGGCACAAAAATTTTGGTTATTGATTATATGACATTTGTTGTTCGCACAAGCTAGCTGTTAACAATAATTTGAAGGCTTTGCAATACAAATAGATTCGAATTTGTCGCACGTACTAGATTAAATTAAAACTCGTTTCGCGGGCCGTACACCATTCAAAATTTGCTCTTCTTTGCGGGCCGCTCAATTTTTCTTGTGGGCCGCATTTGGTCCGCAGGTTGCACACCCCTGATTTAAATTATCAGTGAATGATGATGAATTTACAGAAACACTTCGAATCAGATGGTAAAATACAGACTTAAATATGAAGAATTGACATAAAATACTACTAAAATTTAAGTACTATACAAAATATATACAGTACCTAAAGGGACTAAAAACAATATTGCCGTTCCCTACAAATAGTAATTGTTTATAACTTGGAAACGGTCATGTCTGATCAGCATCATATCTGGGCTACATCGGTATCCCAAGCAAGGCCTCAATTATCAAATCCTCATAATTATAGCGTTAGTATACACAACATCAACACCACACAGAAGAGAGCTTCCGGGGATACTCGATCGGGAAATAGTAGAATTATATACTCACCGCATATGGCACAACCATGCGTAACCCTTACCATTCAGTCGTTTGAATGACAATGTGAATTACCCCGTATAACTGGAACGCATCTCTACCAAAGTCTATCTTTTGCTGGGCATAATTTCCATTACGTTTTTATTTCCTTGTTATTCAGCCAATGTTACTGCTGGTGCAAGCAGGTACGTTTGTGTTGACTGAAAAAAAATTGCGGGCTTCAGTATTTCTACAGTCGAAAAACCTAAAGAATGTGTGAACCTGTTTAGCATGATTACGATGGGAAGATGTGGGACAGGGGTTAAAGTAATAATTCACAACTACGTGGGTACTCCCGTAGTGCGTGTACCAGGTTAGGGTTGGGCCATAATTTTATTCCGATTTTCCTTATTTTAGTTCAATTACGAGTTCGGAGACTGTCTGTTTTAGCCAAGTGAATATACCCCTTGCCCATAGGTTTCAATCCCATTACACAACTTGATGTAAAGAAGGCGAACAAAATTAGGTAGCTCACTATTGGTACACACACTTCTGGGCGCCGATAGATTTAACAAGTCAGTTAAAAAAGAGAAATATAATCGTATTAGTGTGCAGAAAGACCCGTGAATTACTCACACACAGTTCTGGAGCGCCAATATCTGACAACAAAAAATATGGGCAATGCCGTTAGATTATGAATCTGTTTCTCCAAGAGTACGACAAAACTTGATAGAAACTAGAGACTACGAAAACGATGATAATTTGCGTTTTGAAACGAGATTCAAATAAAATCGTCTGACTTATGAAAAGAAATGTAGTCTTTTGTTTATAACCCTCATCTTTGTTACATTAATTTTTTTTTTTTTGGATAAAACGACTGGCATTTTGGTATAGTCGATAGCAAGGCTGTCCAATTATTATTTGGCTCAATATAGAGATGATTTTTGAGAGCAATAAGAAGAAACAAAGACGAGAGACATAATGGACTACGCATACCTTTTGCTTGGCATGGTTGGTAAGTAAGAAGTATCCAAATTCCTATTTTTGCAACATAAAACATTCTGATATCAATACAGTGGTGTTACCAATGTCAAGTTAATTATTGTCATTGCAAATATTAAAGTGCGTTTCGTTAACACTTTTTATTGGTTTCCATAGGATAGAGTTGGGATAATGATAAAATGTTTTAAAAAAACACGAACGTCTCACGCTCAGTCACACGAAAGTTTCTCGTCGCTAGTAACTTCAAGCAAAATTGATATTTGTTCTGAAAAGGATATACACTTTTTTTCAGGCTATTTATTGAGCGACGGTGTATGTGCCATCTGCATGAATAATATGATTCAGCGTGAAAATATTTCTGGCCTGATTAACAGACCCGATAAGAATGCTGGAGGGGGTTATGATTGTGCTGAATGGATTCTTCCACACACACAATATGGGAAAACTCATTCGCTCGTTATACAGATAGTGGAACTAAATTTGGGATATTGGACGAATGACACAAATTACAAATCAGCAGGCCTCATCACTGTTGGGGGTAAGCGTATAAAATACAAAGTGTCCTTAAAGTCACTTACAGTTTCAATTTTTTAGAAAGTCAGTTCTCAACATATCTTTACCAGGTTTGCTGTTTTTTAATCAGTAATTGTTTGTAAGTATTTTTACTTCATTTAATACAACTTCGAGGGCCGAAACAATAAATGGTATCGATAAATTTCCTTTGCAATTAAAAAAAAAAGGACTTCATGGACTCCCTATATACAGTATATTAATAATTTTCTTAAATCACGAAAGTGTGTGCACTAGAAAAATATGGATATGTAACTGAGATTCTCATGGGTTGTTTCACACTTTCACCGAAGAAGGCAAGCGGCCATAAATAGATATGCAGCCACTGTGCTGTTGAAGGCATTGGGAACATTTGATTTCCGCTCTTGACTACTAAGTTCGTAGATTATATCGGGGTGTTAAAAAAGTAACGCAAAATTAAGAGAAGTAATTTAAATGCTACTTAAAACATTTAACGACTGACACCTTTTAACAATATTGAATTGCGGTTAAATACCATTTAAATATTTGACGGCTGACGCTTTTTAACAGTTACTTTTTTAACGTTGCCATGACGAAAAATTTTATCTTAATTTTAGGTAACTCTTTTAACTATCTGGTCGTATTTTACATACTATAAGCGCTCTTTAAATGAATAGTTAAATTTTCTCAAAAATTGATTTTGTGCGGTATGGGTCCAATGTATGGATCGGGCAGTGCACTCAAAAACAATACGGGTATTGCTTTAAAACTCGTTGTGTCGTGTAGCCTGATGCGCCTTATATATGAATGAAATCCCAATGTAAGCAATTTATTGACAATGCACCCTATGGTCCTTGAAATACGATAATTGAAACTTAGAAAACAGCTACTGAGAAATTTACGCGGCGCTGCGATGTTACTCATCGCTCTAAGCGTCAGGAATACCCCCGCCACGCCACCTCTGATTACTCTGCGTGGGTTCGCAGGTTCGAGTCCCATGCGGAGGTAGGTATGTGCGAGAAGATTGCCTGACCGGACATGACCGGACGAGAGGCCGTGGTTCGCCATATGGTTAAGCCGTCTTATCGGCTTTCGTCTCCCCCGGGATAAATATGTAAATTCTATCCTATTATCCCGCAGGCGGAAACTTGGCAGATAATTCGACCGGTGATTGCCATATTTATCATCCCCAAAGGAGTGACTGTTCCGTATCCGGAGAAATATTGACGCCGTGTACATCAGTTTGGCATCATTATGGGGATATAGGAGACGATGTCAAAATCGAGTACAAGCCTTCGAGGAAGAACAGCAGACGATCGAGGAAATGGAATTTTTCAATTAAATATGAATACATTAAATGTGAAGGTACGAGCAATCTTCACACGTGGCAATTTAATTCTAAATGTTTAATAATTCAGCCTTCGATGACTTAACACGTAGCATCCTTCTGTGAATAGCAGTCTGTTATATACCAAGTAACACTTAGGGCTCTGCATTTTCGAATACTTGATGATTTCAGAATCGAATCGAATGAGTTTTTCGAATCGAATGTCGAATACTTAAAAGATATGTAATTGTATAACTCAAGGCCCAAATTACTGAAAACATTGGATCTATCACTCAGACAGTTCGCTGAGTGTTTAAACACAATAAAAAACACATTTCAATAAATGGCTAATAAGAAACGAGTCATACGTCATAATTGTATTTCAAAAATATTGCTTTACTACAATTTTTCCTCAACCTTAAGCGTCCAAATAAAAAACAAGATGACGAAGATTCGAAATTTTTGTTTGAATTGATTCGAATTATTCACGATTCGATTCGAAGAACCCAGCCCTATAGTACGAAAAAGTTATATACTCCTAGCTTTGCTTTCTACACCCATCTGCCCATAACCGGTTCTCAACCATTCGACTGTGGCCGATTTTTGGGCCACATAAACATTTCCAGATGAGCCTATTGTTATTGATGATTTGAAATGATTCATGCTGCTGCATTTTGGCTTTGGGTGTTAGTACTCAATTTGGCGCTCCCGAAGTATGTGAACCAAGATGGTGGACACCGGAACCTAGTATGTCTACCAGGTTAGGTCACAACTTTATTCCAAATTTCCTTATTTTAGTTATATTACGAGTTCGGGGACTAGCCAAGTAACTCTCGTAGTATTTATACCTGAAATTATGGCCAAACCCTGACCTGGTACATATACTACGTTCAAACGTCCGCCATCGTGGTTCACAAACTTCGGGAGTATCAAAGTTTCTATTGTTGCGAAAAGAATTTTCTTGTATCTTCCCTCTCATAAAAAAGTTAATGGGCCCCGGCTTTTTTTGTGCACCAAAAGTGGCCCACGAAAAAAAAAAGTTGAGACTTACTGATCTTGTGGTAAGACCACTTTTAATGCCAGTAACCCCCGGTCTTTATCTATATGCTTTATATTTTTAAATATTTAATTTTTATACTTTTTTATGCAACTCAACTACAACAGCGGATCAACAAAACCTTGGCGCAGTTGGGGCTGCAATTACCTTTGGAATAATTTCTGCATTGGAAGCATTGGTGCTGATTGCTGTCGCACTGAGGTCAGTCGGTTATAATACAACAGTTGTCTCAAAAATGTCGTGTTTCACTTATCCCACGTGGGGCGAGTTGGAAAAATTTGGACACGACATTTTCGAGACACCGCAACATATGTGGAGAAACTCAAGAAATGTGTGTACCAGTATGTAGATAACTAACTGAAACCTATGGACAGGGGGATATTCACTTGGCTAACAGAGACAGTCCCCGAACTCGTAATAGAACTGATATAAGGACAATCGGAATCAAATTATGGCCCAACCCTAACCTGGTACACACACAACGGGAGTACCGAAATTTATACCTTACGATTCTCTACATAGTAATAATATACATTTTAGTGTTAAATTGAATTATTTTTTTCTGTTCATTTTGTTCGACTCTTAAAATAACAACTTATGATTTTGTCCATAGAAACGGAATCTATAATATTGCCATTGTCATTATTATCAGTAACCCTAACCCTACCTTTTTAGTCATTTACTACTGATACCTACCTTTTTAGTCACCGATACCTGTGATTCGTACCTTTTTAGTCGGGTTCATAAAGCACTATCTGATATTTACATTAGGCGCATTGCCTTATAAGGCGCATAGTCGATGTTTGAGGAAAAAGTATTCAAAGCGCGCCTTAAAATATGGTAGCTATGATATATTCCATGTAGACTGTGTCACCACGTATTACTACTATTCACAGATACAAAAAAGGAAGAAACATTGACGCCCGTGGCAACAATGCAACTGTCGCTCCATCAACCAACACACACGAAGCAAGAGATTGTGGTGGAGATTTGGACCCTGATCCAGTTTACCAAACTGTTGAAAATCTACGTGCAGAAATGCAACCTGAAACTGTTGTGAACGAGCTTTATACCATGACTTAAGATTTTAATTTCTTTAAAAGACAACGACTATCTTATTTTTCATGAAAGACAAGGGCAAAAGTATATATCCCAATTAAGCATTTAGTTTATCATACTGAGATAAAGAAACGAGAATGTGACTTTTTGTGATTTTTATTTTGCTTCAATCAATTGTGGGCACTCCAGAAGTGCATGTACTAATATGGAGGTGACTAATTTTGCTCGCCCACTTTACATCGGGTTGTGTAAAGGGGCTGAAAGCTATGAGTAGAGGGTATATTCACTTGGCTAATACAGACTGTCCCGAACTCGTAATAGAACTAAAATGAGGAAAATCGGAATGAAATTGTTTCCTAACCCTAACCTGGTTGATACACTACGGGAGTATCGTATTTATTACAATTAAGAATTCAATTTATCATTCTGAGATAAGAAAAGAAGAATGTGTACAGAATTTTTGTGATTTTATCTTGCTGTAAACAATTCTTCATTATATTAATATCGTAGAATTTTCTATATTCTATATTTTAAACGTTGAAACGATACAAACGCCTTTTTTTTGCGGGAATTCTACAAGTGAGGTTAGGTTGCTTATTCAGACACCAAATATTCAATGAAAATTATAAATGAATAAATATTATAGACTCGGTTTGCCTAAAAATTTAAAGTTTGACGGAGTCGTGTATACATTATATAATATACCATAAGGAAAAAAGGTTATAATAATCCGACACTCCCAGAGCAATGCAGGAAGTTATAATTGAATATTATCCGTCAAACACAATTTATAACTGATTCAAACCAAGAAGCTATTCTTTCTTTTAAAGTTACCAGCCACCGTGTCGCGAACAGATTTCATTTTTGAAATTGTTTCAAGTGATTCCAATTTCCAATAGACAGTTGAAAGTTAGCATATCGAATTACAGACGCGCATTTCAATTTAAAACTTGGAAATAACTTGAGAGTAAGTCAAGTGTGCGCCAGGGGCGGATAATTTCAATTATTTTTTTCGTTTTTGTTGGGAGCGAACTTGGACTGTTCATGTTTTGTGATAGGTGAGCCGCAAATATTTGAAGTGCTCAATAGTGTGTCGCGATATAAAAGGGTTGGGAACCACTGTTTTAAAGGTTAAATGTTTAAGCTTGTGAACTCTATATGTAAATTTATTATATTTTATCCTTAATTTTCATGTCATCTGGATTAATTTGGTTTTGATTAATTGAAAAAATGTGTTTTTGTTCATCAGAAAATCTTTTTTTATATTGAATGTTTAAACAGTTTCAAACTCTATATTTCATGCTTTTAACAAAAATGAACGATCGGGATAGAAATTCAGTCTTCCGCAGCCAAATTTTCTTAAACCCGGAATTAAAATCGAAAATTTTTGACAACACGTTACAAAACAAATTTTCAATTGATGAAATGTGTGTTTTTTTCATCATAAAATCTTTTTTTATTGAATGTTTAAGCAGTTTCGAACTCTAAATTTCATGTTTTTGTTAAAAGTGAACAATCTGGGTAGGAATTCAGTCTTCCGTAATCAAATTTTCTTAAACCCGGAATTAAAATTAAATCAAAAATGTTTGTTAACACGTTACAGAACAAATTTCTACTCGACTTTTGGTTCGTCTATCAATTCAACATATATTTCAATTGCTCTCTTACCTTAATGAAAGAAAACTTCATTAGAATGTTTAAAATACCTGTAACGTATTTATTTATGCTTGTTATCATCACACCATAGTAATATATGTCTCGTGTATTATTTGTCTTTGTTTCACCAAGAGAGTATGGTCTTGTCAGAAAACACAAGAGGTTAGCGTTAAATTGTTGACAAGTTGTGTCGTGAAATTGTAAACTAAACATCGTTTTATTGATTCCAGAGTCTACTGCACACATCCTGTAAGTTAGTCTGCAGAAAGATCGTAAATCAAAAAGAATATTCATTTTCTTTATTTGTATAATGACGTAATACGTCGCTACTTCATGCATTTTGCTCGGAACAAGGCTAGATAAAAGGAGCCACATATATCTTACAATATATCAAAAGATCTCTCTACAAACCTGATTCGCTTTTGAAGGTTTCCAAGGTGTGCAAGCGCGCATTTTCATCTATCTCGGTAGAATAAGCCAGTCAGGAAAAGTCAGTTTTTAGTAAATAGTTCAAGGATAGATTAATATGGTGTTGGAAAAGGCGTAAGAATTTATGTCCCACTGCAAAAGCCGCAAAATTGCATTGGGAAAATTGAAAATTGAAAATATTGGTTTTGCTGGCTACGCCCATGCTATTCAATGGGTTATCAGATCGCAAATCAACCTTCAATAACCAAATACATAATAATAAGTTATTATATCATAATAAGTTTTTCCATTTTTGGAAACACGTTTTTGATTCCAAGTACTTTGTCGCTGTAATTGAAAAACCAGGGATTGTTATCTCCAGGGGAAGATTTCATGTGATTTTGGGATCCTTCCAACCAGTCCTTATTATATGATATTTTCAATAATATTACTTTAAAATTAACGAGAGGTATGTTACGAATACGTCCTTCGTGTAACCTATGAGTGGAGCATATGATCCTTATCTGAGTGCGCGTTTCGCTATTGTTCAAGCAAAGGTCATACGTTTGAGCGATTAATGACTCATAGTTCATTCCCTGTTTGTTATTGTTTCCTCTGTACTCCCGTAGTGTGTGTATCAGGTTAGGGTTAGGTCATAATTTTATTCCGATTTTCCTTATTTTAGTTTAATAACGAGTTCTGGGACTGTCTGTCTGAGACCCCCCCCCCCCCCAATATAGGTTTAGGTCCCTTTACACGACTCGATATCAAGTAGGCGAACAAAATTAGTTACCTCCATATTGGTACACAAACTTCTATAGCGCCGTTTCCACGTTATGATGCTGTGATAAACATTCTAAGTTAATTACCATGGTAATTTAAAGAATACGAAGTAGGCTATGCGCTGTTCGGCTGAATCAAAAGCCATGCTTCCAGAATCTTATATTCTTATCACAAAGATCATTGAGACGAGGTGTTACGACTGAGCAACAGGTCATCTGCACCTAACGCTCACTCATACAAACTTGGCCAGTTGGATAAATATCAGGCAGTTTCGTTACCAAATTCGTTTTTCAATATATTAGCTCCGAATATTTTTTGGATACTTGACTAAACATTAGATGCTTGGATAACGCAAACAAAACTGTAGACGAGGTAACATAGATGTCAGTGCATGCCGATTGACAGATCATTGTTTCGAAACAAAAAGACTCAATAGAGCTTCAATCATCTGACCTCTGAATATAACGTGGGAGGTGAGGTGTGTATAATCCCGCTATTTGTGAAACAGCGCACGTATGGTAATTACCTCATGATAGCTAATGCTGCAATACTGTTATATTAGTAAAACATGCTGCGTGGCAAATATTAGCCCTATAATTTGAGTTCTCGTTTCATCACAGTTAAATACTAGGTTAACTATCTGAGATAAAAGTAAAAAAGACGGAATGGATTACACTTACCTTTTAGTATTACTATTCGGTAAGTAAAATGTACAAATTATAGTTATGAAATATATTGTAACAAACACTCACAGATGAAAATATTATGACGCAAGTAAAGTGACAGAATATGATATAATTAGAGCTATTTTGAATATTGGAATTGGAAGGATTGATCATGTTTAAGCAACCCACCTAGCAAGCAATTAGAGTTGAAACATTCGAGTCTTTTATTTATTGATATTTAATTTAATGTTAAAAAAATGCTTTTGGCATAAGGTATACTTTAAAATGAATTATTATTCGTAGACTCATAATAATTTTTATAAAAACTATTATAGACTAATGAAGATCAGTAAATACATTTTTTTATGTAGGCTGCAATTATCCTTTTTGTGGTCATATTTTTATAAAACTGGAATAATGGAAATTAGAATAATATTATGGCCTAACCCTAACCCGGTACACATACTACGTTCCTATGTCCGCCATCTTGGTTCACATACTTCGGGAGTACTGAATTTTCTAGATAAAAGCTATACAATGAAACCAGTACTAAAACAAATTAGAACAATCAAATTTTGATCAAAAATGAGCTGTAGTAATTTTACAATCGCACACAAAAACAAAATAATAGAAAACGCCGTTACCGTCAACCCCAATGCGTTGAAACAAGTGTTTTTGTCGAAAAAAAAACCCTTCAAATTCACTTCCTCGAGCAATAATTTGCGCCAAATTTAATTAAAGACTGCACAACAAGTCGTTTTTTACAGGTTGTTTATTCGTCCACGGAGTATTGTGCAACTGCAAAAATAAATATCAAAGTGGAGCTATTTCTGACCTGATTGAACGACCTGATAAGCATAGGGATGGATATTATGATTGTGCTGAATGGATTCTCCCACACTCGAAATATGGAAAAAATTACGCGCTCGTTATACGAATGGTAAAGCTAAATTTGGGATATTGGACAAGTGGCATAACGTACCAATCAGCGGGCCTTATCACTGTTGCTGGTAAGCGTAAAATACATTACAAATTTTCATGAACTCATGAAAGTGTGTGCACAGAAAGAATATGGATATGTGACTGAAATTCTTTCTAATTGTTTCAAACTCTCGGCAAACATACGTTGGACAAGCAGTCACAAATATGCATGCGGCTGCTGAAGGTATTGAGAACATTTAATTTCGGCTCTTGACTACTAAGTTAATAGATTATATCAGGGTGTTAAAAAAGTAACGCAAAATGAACAGAAGTTAAGATGGAATGCTACTTAAAACATTTCACGACTGACGCTTTTTAACAGTTACATTTTCAACGTTGCCATGACAAAAAATTTTATATAAATTTTGCGTAACTTTTTTAATACCCTGGCCGTATTTTACGTACCATCAGGCGCACTTTAAATACTTAAGTTTTCTCAAAAATCGATTTTGTGCGGCATAGGTCCAATGG